GTTTTGGCGCGCAGAGCGGCGGCGCAGTGCCCGGATGGGAACGGTGCGGGGTGGGTCTCCACACACACAAACCGGCCCTTCAGCCCCAACCCCTCTTCCCTCCGGGCTCTCAGAGCTGCGCGCTGGGTCCGAGCGATCTGGAAGTAGGCGCACACTGAGGGGAAGTTTCTGTAAGCGGGAGGTTTTTCGAATGAGCGTGGTGGCTGCGTGCTTTTCCTGTGACAGGGAGCGGTTTCCCTTGCTCTTCTGTGCCAGTCCACTTGTTGAGGGGTGATAGCTGACCATGGCGAGCTTTGGGGCTCGGTGATGAGCATACCTTAAAATCTGGCGGCTGACATTTTGAGAGTGTTGGTGTTACCAGGGAACGAGATGCGATTTTCCTAGGTGGGAAGTTCGTTCAGCTTACTCAAAACTCTCCACCTGGAGAGGTGGTCTGTCTGTGGCGGTATGTCAGGGACCATTTTCCCAGTCAGGTTGGCAAAAGGGCTGGTCTCGAGTCTGGGGGAGACACTGCTGCCTGGGCAGGCAGGGAAGTTGAGATGAACCTCTGCAAGGACCCCTTTAGGCCTGGGTGTCAGTGGGCTCCCTGCAATCGTTCATTGCTTCCATTCGGGTGCCATGAAGGAAGGAGGAGCTCCACTTTTCCCCTGACACAGCCTTAATCCCCTCCCTGAGGCATTCAGTACAAGTACTAACATTTTATGTTTCAGCTGGTTGTCAGCAGGGGCAAGGAAGGAATTTCCCCCTAAAATCATGATCGTCCAGCTGTATTCTATTTACTTATATGTCCTCTAAAGGACCAAGAACAGATGACAGTTGAAGCCAGGGCAGCAGAAGATGCAGATCATTGATCTGGTACGCTACTGACAGTCCTTCCCCCACGGCTCGAGAGGTATGGAGGAGTGAGAGGAGTCTCCAGGGTCATTGACTGCCACTTCACGATCTGTGTTTCACAGACAGAACATCATTTAATCTTTCATAAGGTTATTGAGCTCCTTCTCAAAAGCAATTAAGCTTTTCTGGTGTTGTTATAAGCAATATATCCAGCTGTCCATATGAATATAGCTCCAGACTGTCCACCTCGCTGCATATAAGACAATAACTGCACCAGTTTTCATTCTCTAGTAAGCAGAGGGAAGCTGAAGTAGACTGAAAAATAAAGGCACTTCCATAATATTTTCTGTCTCCTGAGTTATTTATTCTCCTCGTAGCAGTTATCTGCCATGTAACCAGCGTAACATCTCCCAAAAGGCAGCGTATGTTCATTTTCATCTGCGTTGATTCTGCAGTGAATTGGGTGTTATTTTTCAGCACTAGATAAATCAGAACACTAAAGCACGTCAAGGCAAACATTCCTTAAAATAATTAAAATGCTGACAAGAAAATGCAGCCTTATATCTGAACCCATCTCCTATTACAAATGCAATTAAATTTGCTGGTCTCAGCCTATCCTTGTCCTCGTTTATGCACATGCCCAAAAATCATCACCTAATAATTTACAAGTGAGGCTTAAGAAAATAACACATATCGGGCTGTGTGCCTGGGGTGACTGGGTGAGGAAGAGAAGAGGCAGCAATAAAAAAGTAAATACTGCTGCAAGAAGCAGCAATTCCACGCTTGCTTTCCCTGGGAGGTACAAGGAATAGCCTGCTTGATTTCAGTGCCATTTTCCCCTAATTACAGCGGTGCAAGGGAGAACAGAATTTAGCCCGTATGTTGTAGCGCTAATAACAGTTCCAAATGTCATCTGTGAGAAAGCTTGCCATTTGCTTTTCTCTGCTGCAAGTGACTGAAGGGCTCCTCTTGTCATACAATACAGAAATTCTGTCATTCCCTTTATTTTTAGAAGAGCAATTCACAGGCAGAGAGGGGAGGAGGAAGGGTTTTTCTGAATGTTTATCGCTTACACATCATACAGGAAGCTGTTCACATTCTTTATTAATTTTCTAACAATATCCAGAGACTTACTCAGTCTGAGATGTAATATGCTAAAATCCTTTCCAATAAAATGTCACTTGAAATGAAAATCAGAGAGGAATTTTTAAAAAGCCCATCACTGTGGAAGATTTTCAGAGAGCACCAGGCCTGACCAGCCCTGCCTGGTTCAGCTTCCCCCAAAACTCAGTAAAGCCCAAGGGTTTTTAAAGGTGAAATATAATGTATTAAAATACAGTGATTGATTAATGTGCTAATTCCAGAGGAGACTATAAAATACAGGTGTCCCTCATGACTGCAAATATCTTGGAAAAAGGAATATTTAAACAAATCAGGTCCTGGCTTGTGCCAATGACACATTAATAGCAAAGCTTTTGACATGGGGATTCTTTCAATTGAGAGCCAAAGCACCCAGGCGACAGAGGAGTCTGGATATGACCTCAGTGGAAGTGTTTAATAAAAGCAGATATACAGTACTGTGAATATTACGACCTCTTAGTTAAGAGTCTCTGTCCCTTACCACAACTGATGGTACCAGGCAGCCTGAGAGGATAAAAAGCGATCTATGAATGGTTGTGATACCCTCAGCTACTGCACTTTTTAACCGACCTCTTGGCACGCCAGTGAAATACTAAACAGTTTTTCAAGTATTTTGCTGAAGATCTAATTGAGTTTCCAGGCTGTCAGATTTGGATGCACTGAGGTAGTTGGAAACTCATAATTATTGGGATCTGGTCAACAGGATTCTTCAGCTGTTCTGGAAAATCTCAGCTATTTCAGTGTTTGCGTATTTCAGTATCAGGTATCTCAAGAACACTTACAGCTGACGGAGCCAGCTCCGCTCTGTCTTTTCCTGGTTTGTGATCGAAAAAATTTATGTGGTTCAGTGGGAGAGACCCAGGTAGTCTCTTCGTCTAGTCTTGGTTAAAAAAATGTGAGGGAAAAAGCAAGGGAGTGAAGATAAAGTGTGTCAGTGGGCAGAAGGGTGGGCAGCACGGAGAAAGAAAGTGCTCGTACATGAGACTGATTAGGTAGGTGATTCAATTAGTGAAAGGGCAGTGGGAGTGCTCTGTTAAAAGAAGAGCTGAAATGTGTATGTATTAGTGCAAATGAAGGAGTTCAAATTGCAGATGCAGGACATGAAACCAGGTATTAGGAATAACGATGATAATAATGAGTTAGAGCTCATGACTAGAGCACAGGCACCAAAGAGTCAGTGCTGCTCGGGGAAGATGGAAATAAATGTATGAATGGGGAGGCTGTGCTACCTGCCGTGGTTTACTAGGCTGGAGAAATAGGAGCTGGAACGGGTGGAACAGAACCAGTGTAGGTCAACATGACTTTGAGGAAAGCTGGAAGAAGATTTTTCTCCTTGCTGTCTGCAGTAGCGCTAACAATCTGCCATGATTACTGAAATACTGTCAGAGAAAGCAGGAGGGTTTATTAGCTGATTCTGTCTAAATCAGATTGAGGGATAAACAGAATCTGGGCTTAACTGCTGTTTCCAATCTCAAAAGAGCAAATCAGGATTAAACAGAGAAAACTGTTTAACGAGCTAAAATGATCTGAGGGACTTGGGCCCAGCACTACTCCGCCAAACCTCAGGCACCTAACTGGGGTATTTAAGTTGGGACAACGGTCGCCTCACAGTCCCTAATTAGGTGTAGGATCACAGAACAGTTTGGGTTGGAAGGGACCTTAAAGATCATCTAGTTCCAACCCCCCTGCCATGGCCAGGGACACCTTCCACTAGAGCAGGTTGGTCAAAGCCCCATCCAACCTGGCCTTGAACACTGCCAGGGATGGGGCAGCCACAACTTCTCTGGGCAACCTGGTCCAGTGTCCCACCACCGTCATCATAAAAAACTGATGCAGCATGCCTAAGATCCACTCTCTGAGGGTACGTGGTTCCTTCCAGTGACCCCAGAAGGTGCCCAGGATAACTAAACACCTAAGTTAGGTACTCTGGTAAGATGCCCAAAATTAGGTTAAACAGACCCAAGTTTTGGGGACCCGAACATGGAGAAAGCTTGAAATTTCTTTCTGTCAAAGGTACGCAAGTTGCTTAAAATTTTATTCCATAAACAGGGAGGGAAACCCTGGGTCAAAAGGCTCCGGACCTGGGCGAAAAACAACCTCAGCGAGAGTCCTGGGAATAAACAGGGATGCTAAGAGAGTGATCAAGAGGACTCATCACCAAAGAAAGCTTTATCGTAGGGGTCAGAAAGCTTAGGATGCAGGTAGGAGTGTGAAAGGGTAAGCTGGGGTGAGAAAAAGAACCCCAATGCCTTCCTCCCAAAGAGTGAGGAAGCTGAGCCCCCGATTTCAAGCAAAAGGAGAACATTTTAGTCAGCCTTTCTCCAGTGACCCAAAGTAGGCTGATACCGCTGCTGCAAAGTGTGCTGTTTATTGCCATCCCAACCGACAAGCAGACAGTGCAGCTCCTGCAAGTATCACAGTCACAGATTCAGGACTGGTGTCTTGACTCACATCTTATGCAATCCTTCTCCTCACCAGGAAGCGAGAAAGAACCTATTAAATCTGCCCACACAGCGTCTCTAATGCCTGAGCTGAAAGTGGTAGGAAATTATGATAGATGTATGGAGCCCTTCCCCAGGTTTCAGGCAAATCAGGGGAAAGTTCCTTCGGAAAAATGTACAGCTAATGGATATTCCAGCTGCGATAATGTTTGGAGGTCTAAGTCTTTCTTTAATTAAATCAGAGGTTTACGACTGAACGCTTACATTTCTGGTAGGAGTCTGTAGGGAGTAGCCTTTGAATTGGTAAATCAGCTGCCTGAATAAACCACTTGTCAAGCTAAAACGTTACGTTCTTGGAGTTATGTGCTAGGTTTAAACAAGAAAATAAGTAAGTGAATTTAGTGGGGATGAAAAATGACAAACTGGCAGTGCTGGAAACTGGAGTCTTTCCTTTACCCACAGGTTCAGGTCAGT